GTGACCTGCACACTCTCCTTTATTTGGATAAAAAAACAACTATAATTTAAACTGAGCTAATCTAAAAAAAATATAGTCACATTTCTTTTAGCCAAACAACTTTTATCTGTGAGGTTATCAAAAAAATGCCACAACTACAAAAATCTGAAACCGAAAATTTTAAAAAATTTGAAAAATTTGAAAAAAGTCATGTACGATGTAAAGCTGCTAAACAAACTGAGATTTATAATTGCTAACCCGAAGGTTTAAATTATTTGATTTACAATAACAGAGTTAGACCCATTCAGGTATGTCTTTATTGACAGTTATCTCACCCCATAAACTAATCTCACCTTCTTTAAGCTGCATATCAGCAGGACCTGCAGACTGGCTGGATTCAGGTTTCCCTTTGGTTTCTTTTATTCCACTCACATCGGCTGAAACACAGCAGAATAAAGTTTTCTTTAAAATGAACACATAGAACTGACCTAACACATCAAGTCATTCTATGTTTAATATATTCATGGACTCATTCTCAGTGGAATATACTTCAGAAGAATATTTATATTGTTGGCTCATAAAAGCTGTCAGAATGAGGAGGGTGCAGAGAACTAAATAAAAAAGATATTCGACTTTACTGTAAGCTGCCCTCTGAACATAATATCTATTGCTGTATTGAATCAATGTTAAAAAGCCCCCCCTCCCCATGTTTCTCCAAACGATCATAGATGTTCAGCCTGAATGAGAGCAGGAACAAAAACAAAGTTCAGAATGAAATGAACCCATCAGATCCTCCACTGATCTTCTTTTACAATAGTAAATGTACACTTACCAGTTACTGTATTGGTATCAGTCAGCAATGGATCACCTTCTGTCAATAAGACACCATAAACATATGAGTTTTAGTTATAATAATTGAACATTTTGATAACTTCAAACAGAACAACGATGATCTAAATATCTTTTTATTTTCACTCAATGATCATGAAACTAAATAGTAAATGTCAGGCTGTGCTGTCTTTGAGGGTTCAAACAAAGGAGCAAACCAGGGAATAAATTATAGATTTGATCATTTGACTGATAGAAATAAAGTGACGTTAAATTCAGTTTAAATTGGTTCTGACGGAATTTTCTGTGTCAGTCCTAAACAATTAGGAGCATTTTTATACCCTGATCAACAAAAACATGTTTCTCTGAACAAGACAGTCTGTTGACAAGGATGTCAGCCTGCTATGAAGAAGTAAGGGATGATTCCAGACTGATGGACATTACTTTGTGTGAAATGGTGAAATAATGTCTCAGTCACCTTTCTGAGTGCTGGTTCCTATTTCTGTCTCATCCTCATTTCTTCCGTTTGACCCTGAATTGTTCATTTCTTTAAAATAGAAAAGGTTAGATTTGTTAAAACAACAGAACCTTTTCAAGACCCCAGTTGCTGTTTGTAAAGCCTTCAGGAAAAAAAAATCCATTTGTATTTACATGATTTACCAAGGAAAACACAACTAAGATTACATGTTAAAATTTGTTTTCTATTAAAATTACTGTAAATCAATGAGAAGATTGTTCTCACAACAATGAAACTTAGAGTTAAATCATTTTAGTTCAATCTCACCTTCTTTATTCTCCGTATCATCAGAATATGCAGCATCACTGGATCCTGGTTTCTCTTCAGCTGCTGAAACATATCAGTATAACATTTTACATGAGATTAAACATAAAACCAATGTAAGGCATCCAGTGATGATAATATATTCATGGGTTCATGCTCAGTAGAGGGTACTTCACAAGAAGCTGAGAAAAGTGATATTATGAGTCAGAATGAGGAGGGGGCAAAGAACTGAATAAAAAAGAAAAAAACTTTACTGTAAACTGCCCTCTGAACATATTGTCTATTGCTGTAATGAATCGATGGGGAGGTGGAGCAGCATGTGTTAAAACACCCCAACATGTTTCTAAAACCACATTTCTCCAAATGGTCATAGATGTTCAGCCTGAATGAGACCAGGAACAAAAACAAAGATCAGAATGAAATGAACCCATCAGATCCTCCACTGATCTGAGGTCTGTCCTCAGGTCTGCAGTTCTGCTCTGGTTCTCCTTGGTTCTCCCTGAATGGTTCTAGTGTTGAATTCTGATCCTGGTCTAGAAAACTATCACTGTGTTGTAGGTTTTCACTTTACTAACTTTGAATTTGGTGAGTTCTTTTTTTCTTTTTAACAAACAATGGTTAATGTACACTTACGAGCTACTATAGTTGGCAATGGATCACCTGTCCATAAGACACCATAAACATGCAAGTTTTAGTTATAATAGTTGAACATTTTAAAATTTTCAATCAGAACAGTGATGGTCTAAATATCTTTTTAATTTCAATCAGTCATCATGAAACTACATATTAAATGTCAGGCTGTGCTGTCTTTGAGGGTTCAAACAAAGGACCAAACCAGACGGCTGATGGAAATAAAGTAACATTTAATCCTGTGTAATTTGGTTCTGATTACATTTTCTGTGTCAGTCCTAAATTGTTTTATTAACAAAAGCATATTTCTTTAATCAAGAGGGTCTGTTGACAAGGATGTCTGTCTGCTATGAAGAATTAAGGGATGAATCCAGACTGTTTTTGTGTGAAATAGTGAATTAAAGTCTCAGTCACCTTCCTGAGTGCTGGTTGCTGATTCTTTCTCATCCTTATTGAATTTTCCATTTGATCCTGAATTGTTAATTTCTGTAAAATAGTAAAAGTTAGATTTGTTAGAACAACATAACCTCTTCAAGCTCCCACTTGCTGTTTGTAAAGCCTGCAGAAAAGAGCTGTTTGTATTTATATGATTTACTGAGGACAAAAAAACTAAAATTACATGTTAAAAACTGTTTTCTATTAAAATGACTGTAATTCAATGAGAAGATCGTTCTACAACAATGAAACTTAGAGTTAAATCTTTTTAGCCTAATCTCACCTCCTTTACTCTCCATATCAACAGAACCTGCAGCATCACTGGATCCTGTTTTCTCTTTGGTTTCTTCTGTTTTCTCCTCAGGTGCTGAAACATATCAGTATAAAATGTTACATGAGATTAAACATAAAATCAATGGAAGGCATCCAGTGATGATAATATATTCATGGGTTCATGCTCAGTGGAGGATACATCATTACTTTTATGTCCTGAAAACATAAAACCATGAAGCCTCCATTGTTGAATGCAGACGAAACAGAAGTTATTGTCTTTGGACCAAAGTCTCTGAAAATAAACTAATTATTCAGTTACTTCATCTTGATGGGATTAAATTGATCTCAGATAATAAAGTAAGCATCCTAGGGTAACTGCAGAGGATCAGAGAACAGTGAAAGATCGGATAAGTCTACCAGGCAGACCGAACTCTGAAGGCGGGCTAGAGGCCACAGCTGGTGAGTAGCAGGCAAGTGGTTATGGCTGGAGCTATGCTCTATAGGCTAACTGCTGGTTAAATGATAGATGGTCTAAATTCTTCTAAAACACCTTCATTCAACAACTAGATGGTTAAAACTTGAACACAGTCTGATGTTGCAACAAGACAATGATCCTAAACACACATCAAACATTGATCCACAAGTTATATCATCATCATCATCATCATCATCATCTCACACACATTAGAGGAGATGCTCTGCAGAGCGAAATGTGTAAAAAGTCAGAGCTTTAGTTGGTATTAATGTCTGAGTTTGATTTCTGTCAGAAACTATAAACCTGCTGCTGAAATAAAGAAAAAAGAAAAAAAACATCTTAGAAGGTTTTACTCACCAGGTCCAGAAGGTGCTAATTCATATATTTCTGGAGTTGGTGATCTTTGGTTCAGGTTTCCATCTATCGGTCTCCGCCAGTCACGTGACATCTGTTGCTAAGACGCCATTTTTGGTGGAAAAGGCGTAGTGTAAACAACCGCAGCATAGTTAAGTGAAGGACTAAAGGATTGAGTTTGTTTCTCTGACTATATGGAAAAAA